TCTCTCTCTCTCTCTCTCTCTCTCACACACACACACACACACACACACACACACACATTGCTGTTGGTACTTTTTAAAGAGATAAACTAATGCAAATGCAATTTAAGTGATATCCTTTCATCCCTCCCCTTCTTTCCTCCCCAGAGATAACCACAATCTTTTTTTTTAAATTTCTTTATTGTTTAAGGTAATACAAATGTGTCCTCATCCCCCCATTAACCCCTAACCTCCTCCCCTCATGCTCTTATCCCCCATAACCACAATCTTGAACTTGTTTTATATAATGCATGTTTTATACTGTTACAAAGTGTGTATATATATCCATAAACAATAGTCTTGCTCTATATGCTTTAATTTTTTTTTCTATTTGTTTTCCTTTGTATCACATAATGATGAGTGAAAATGCTTGGCTTAGTACATTTGTCTTTACACTGAAGTGTGTTTACAACGAGTTGTACAGAGATTTCTGAACCAATACATGAACAGATGAACACATATAATATTAAAGAAATAGGTGTCCGGATCCTCGCCTTTTATATGTCTCTGTCCAAAAATATATGTGTGAGACATCCCCTGCCGTGGGGGCATCGCATTGTGCTGGTTCTCCTTTGCCCTCTCACCCCGCTTTGACTTCACAGAAGGAACACATACTGCCCACACCTTCAGAATCTTTTGGCTTATTGTTCTAGAGCAGGGGTGGGCAAACTTTTTGACCAATACATGAACAGATGAACACATATAATATTAAAGAAATAGGTGTCCGGATCCTCGCCTTTTATATGTCTCTGTCCAAAAATATATGTGTGAGACGTCCCCTGCCGTGGGGGCATTGCGTTGTGCTGATTCTCCTTTGCCCTCTCACCCCACTTTGACTTCACAGAAGGAACACATACGGCCCACACCTTCAGAATCTTATGGCTTATTGTTCCAGAGGGTAACAGCTTCCAGAGCTCCAGATAAAGGGACAGATGGTCCTGAAATCAGCTGAGTGACAGTAGCAGGGACAGCATCTGGACCCAGAGGAAATGTACACTCAAAGCGAATTTACTTTTCAACCCGCAGGTCCCGGCTCGAGGAACAAGATCTACCAGGTGCCCTGAGGAGGAGGTCTCAGGACCTGGATGTCGTCATTTGTGGGGACACCACTGACCAGAGTCTAAGATTTCTACCCAGAAATTTCGAGCAGCTCAAGAAGAGACCAAAGACGCAGCGTCCATCTTCCTGGCCATTTCCCAGTAACAGAAGACAATGATTAAGAACCAGGTGACTTTGGGTTTGTTTTATTCTTTCCTTCATTCTGTGGTTGATTTCTGGAGGATTTGAAAATACAATTGAATTAAAGAACAGTATGATTTGTGCAGAAATAAATTTAGCCCCTAACTTCAACATTAAGGCAAAATAGGATGAGGAATGTATTGTTCCCAGAGCCTCACTAAATGACTAATGTTGGGACATAGTGTGACTGGAGCATCATACGGGTTCCATGAGCTGTCACCTTCTGTCCAACATCTCTGACAGCCCTCACGGCCAGAGAGCCATGAGGAAAACAGGCTGTTCACTGACAGAGGGGACAGCAGGCCCTTCCTTGGAGGGTGTCACTCTATGTTTCCTGACATTTAGGTTTTAGATCATTTAAAATATATATTTTTTTTTATTTTTTTTTAAAATTAATTTCAGAGAGGAAGGGAAAGGGAGAGAGAGAGAGAAACATCAATGATGAGAGAGCATCATTGATCGGCTGCCTCCTGCACGCCCCACACTGGAGATCGAGTCCACAACCCAAGTACGTGTCCTTGACTGGAATCGAACCCAGGACCCTTCAGTCCGCAGGCCAACGCTCTCTCCACTGGTCCAAACCAGCTGGGGCAGGACATTGTTTATGGTTCTTCCTAGAGCTGAGATACTAGACAGTGTCCTTCACTTCAGTTTTCCTGTAAATGCAATGCGGGGCTCCTCAGAGGTCCCTTTGAGAATAGACCACGAGAGCTCAGCGGGCACAGGTTTTCATGGGACCATAACAGTGACCCATCGACCCAGCCTTACGGTGGTCAGGATTAATCTAGAAACAAAACCGCAGTGGCCTAAGAAAATGGAAGGACTGCATGGCACACAAAGGTCCTGTGTGACCACGTGGCTGAGCTGGTGTTTGAGGTCAGGTTTGGCAGTAGGCAGTGTGGAAAGTACTGTCGTCTGCGAAGGTTGGGGTCCCAGAGGGTTTTCTATAGTTCATCCTCCTCTCTAAGATAGAACACTTTCCTGTGTTCAAAGCCACTTCCTACTGCCTCATCTCTTATTACCTTCCAACCACACATCATTGTATATGTGGTCTGTTGTTGGCCGAAACATTACGTAGCACGGGACTATAGTTGTGTTTTCTGAAGGCTGCGGTTTACTTTCTTAGTCTGCTTAATGACTTGAATAGTCTCCTGTTCTTTGGACATGTTTTGGAAAAATGCTTTATTCCTCCTAATGTATAAAATATATTTGTTTAATATGTAGTATCTTGTAATTATACTCTCTGCATTTTTTTTTTCTGGTTGATTCTGATGATGGCTGTCAAGATTGACAGTAAATGTAGGAACGGACTTTGTTTTAGTTACCTTGATATTAGTAGTATATATTTAGTGCCTAGTAAATATGTGCCTTTAAAATATATATACACACACACACACACGCACACACACACACACACATACATACATATATATTAAATGCAAATATTTCTGGTTTGAGAAAGAGGATTTAATGACTACTTAT